TGTCAGGCAACGCTAGAATCGTTCGCCGATGATAATCGCGGTAACAATGTTCCTCGCACTTCTTTCGTCGAACGTGAAGGAAAAAAAAAGGGAAAAGAAAAGGAAAAAAGGAACACGTAGCAACGGTATTTTGACGTTGAAACATTTTGTACCGGGGCGTTCGCTTTCGAATTCGTTCCAGTGTAAGTTCTCATTATCTTTTTTCTTTCTTTTTTTGCCCAGATTTCTCTAACGAATCGTAGTGCAAGGAACGTCTGAATGCGCCGTAAAGACCGATCGTAACGCTGTTACGATCTATACAAAACAAAGAACGCGCCTCGTGGTTATGAGATTTGCGATGGGAGAAGAGGAAAACGAGATAAAAAAAAGGCGGTTAAATTAACGCATCCACTCTATAAACGCGACTGTTTTTTCTGTCTCGCGATCGTTTCGCGGATAAGCGGGCATCGTTAACGAAACCTACTTAGGGCTCGTGTGAATTAAACTGGTCGAATCGGATCGCGATTTAGAAAAAAGAAAAAAACGAAATGAGAAGATTCACGCGCTTCGATGCTCGCTTGTAAAATCAGGCAAAAATGGCGGAAATAATAACACGCGGGGCGATTGCACGATAACATTACGTTGCAATCGGTGCGTACAGTGGGAAGCTCCTGACGTAACGCGCGGATTTCCACGTATATCGGAATAAAAAGTGGCGCGAACGTGAAAGGACCTCCTTATTCGTCCCTTCCGAGCCCCCTCGACGGAAGGCACAATAGAGATTGATGCAAGCGCCAAGTCACGATTCTTTACATTGCAAAGCGTAGAAGAAGAAGAAGAAGGCGAAGAAGAAAAAGAACGAAATACATAAGACACGTCGCAGGAGAGACCAAGTTGCGTAACCAGATGCTAGACGCGTCTACTTCTGGGCTGCAGCACGTTCTGATTTCTCTGAAACGGCTGTGTTCAACGATTTCGCGCCAATTTCTGGGGAACGAGGAAGCATAGAAATTGCTTGTCCGTGCCGTGCGAATAAATAATTGCGAATTTTCTTGCGTGGCCATTAGAGGTAGCGAAGCCCCGGCACGAAATTCGACGCGTAGGGAAATGACGACAGTGCAACGAAGTATTTCCACAATCGATATATCTGTCGAGTTACGTTTATAGAGAACTGCGACGAATAGGTTCTAAAGTCTTGCGAGAGATGCGAGAATGATCGAGGAATTGCATAAGACGGATATCGGAAGCATTAGTCATAGTCAATGATAGCTTTCTAAATGCTATTTACGAGCAACCTTCTGCGATAATTTAGAGACGTTGGTGTTATTTCACGTTGACTACTATCAACCGAGTTGTAGTTCGATTCGATTAACCCTTTGGACACCTTGTCCCTTTTGTTATTCACAGGTACGAGCGAAGTAATTTTTAACTGGGTTCATCTCTCAAACAGAAGTTGAATCTCTCTAGTTTATACGATAACCACTTTACTAGATAAAATGTATTTTATGTTTAATACCGGCATAAGAGTGGAATTAAAAATAAATAGTTCCTTAGTAAATAAACTATTTTATTTGCAACCTTGGTTAACCAATGACGAGTTAACTCGTCTTCCCCAGTTAACAGGTTAATGCTATTTTCAATATAATTAGTAAAGAAATTGTTTAAATTGCTTCCTATCAACCGAATGTCTTCTGAAGTGCATGTAAAATGAAACTCTTCAAATAATAGGGAGTTATTGAAAAAAAAATTTTTTTTAAAATTTGGAGCTCGAAAGGTTAATGAGAAATCGACAAAAGTAACGCGTGGTCCATTCGGCGAAAATTATACCTACGTCCACGTGAAAGAAACGTTTACGTCACAATTGACGGAAATGTAGCTCACGGTATGCAACAGACATACCTAAAGATTCGTGTACACTGTTAGGGGGAACGTCATATCTGCATCGTTCCCATTTATACGCGAAACACACTGTCCATATGCGGTCCGCGGCTGATCGAACAAATCTCTCCCGCTCTTATGCGAACTTCCTAGACCATTAAATATGATTACTTGGCTCGCGGCACGTTAAATAACGGGATTTGCTAACCAACCGTCTCTCCTCCACGTCTTGCTCTATGCACGTACTGAGAGCATCGGTTAGCACGCTTTTAAAACTCGCCTGCCCGCCAGGAGATAAACCTGGCTAATGGTTATTGTATCCTAAAGGCTCGGTACATATTAAACGGGCAGCCAACTCTTGCTCCGTCGCGGATTATCAACTGTTTAATTTTGAAAGAAGTACGTAACAACGTTCCACTTTTCATTTTCGAGCTGCGTTTTAGCCGTAATTACGGTCTAATAAAATTATGAATTGCGGTAAAAATAATTTGGATTTTGCAAGCATTTCTTATATCAGTTCTGACAATAGTATCCCGTCCCTATCTAACTTTCTTCCTAAGAGTCTCTCACGAGATAAACTGTTCTCTGTCTGAGTCTTACTCGAGATAAACACCGTGGAAGGGTTAATGCCCAAGTTATTATACTTTTTAACGTTCGACGTTTGACAGCGTGGTAAATGAACGAACTCGGAGCTACCGACGAATTGAACTACTTTCCCACAAAGCAACATTGTCAACTACTTCCCGTACGCATTCTTCACGAATAACGCAAAAAGTTTCACTGAAAATCTCATCGAAACAGGCGTTACCAGGTGTTAACGAGTTAAACGAACAATTAACGCTCCGTTTTTATCAGGATGTTTCACGGTTCCGTGTTCACCGATAGTATTTTGCTCGATCGGACGGCGAATTGGACTCTGCACAATCTACCATTGATTTCGCCAATTAGGCACAATTATCCGACTCCGTGGTCGGCTGTTTGTTTCTCTAAATCGACGATAATTTCTTGGCCGTGGTGGCCGGCAATAGCGGAGCCACCGATACTCCGATATAATTTAGCAGTGGATAGGTGACCGCGTGAAACGCGATTGTGCCGCATCGATGCAGTTTCCTCCCTTGATCGTTGTACAAGGTCGATAGACCGGATACTCGCACCGAGCATTCGTCAATGGGTCGAAATTGTCGTAAGCACGTCTCCTTATTTCTGGCGAATCCGCTGAACCAGGCAAACCACGGTCGCCAGTACGTACGACATGCTCCTGTAATTCTGCGGCCGCGAGCACGTATCGTGCCTGCTCGGTAGTGTGTTGCTGCACTTTCGATGTCCGGAGAGCCCACTTTCCTACATTTTCAAATCCGTTTACACGTTCCGGGGTCACTTTCAGTTTCTAGTCGCTATCAGATTAACGAGCTGCGGGAGGGGAGAACGAATGTTGCACACGGAAACGAGACCAGATTGTGCACAATTATGACTTTAATTCGTTTATTTAGCTATCGAACGGTTAAAATGGTTTGAAGCAAATTTAAGAAACAGACGTAAAGTCTGAGGTCAACTAACAGCGTTCGAGAGACCTCCGAGAGCATTAATCTTAAATAGGAAGATGGAGAAAGAGAAGACGTCTAGGCGGTTGAAACGGGTATTACCTAAGAAGCAAATTCTATTTGCGCCGATGGCTGGCACGAAATCTCGAGGTGCAGTTATGCAGATTGAATGGAATTGTGTAGCTGTTAAGTTAACCTGGCGCGTTGAAGTTGATTAAACTAATAATAGGCGGATCGATTAGCTAATAATTCTCCTGGCCGGCGTTTCATTAAGAATCTTTCTTGCAAAGCAAACATTTGCTCAGCCTCGACGAGAGAGATACTTTATTCCAGAGAAACTAGCGAAGTACCGGTAGGAAGTTTATCAGTTGGAGCGAAAGTATCGATAAAATCGTGAAACGTAGCGTGAGTGGAGAATTTTCTTTTTGGGAAAGGACGGTGTGAGAAAATGGGAAGGGGTAAAAATGAAAACAGGGTGACTGCTGGAGGAGAACGAACGAACGCGTTCGATTTTCACGAGGCGGCTCTACCGTCCACTTTTCCCTTTCACGCTTGTTAATTTGCACGCGGTGCCATTCGCGTTAACGACTTGTACAAACCATACAAGTCTTTTTTCTAGCTGACACTTCGCGTACGGTAGAACAGGTGTACCTCATAACGTAACATTAATCGGTGAAAGCGGCGACGCCGATTCCATCCGATCGCGTAACCGCTAAACACCACGCGTCTCTCTTCCTCTCCGGCAGTCAGTCCCTTGTCCACCGTGGATTGCATAATATAGCTTTGTTATGTATAAAAAATATCGCTTTATTCATTTATATAAAAAAAAAACATATTATACAATATAATTAGAGGTTCGGGATCACGATGAATACAATATTGGTACAATTCGACTTTCGTCTACTACGAACGCGGCGTGTCTTTGTTCCGACTATCGGTGTTCACATTTCGAACAGCCGGTGTATCGCGAACACGGAGTGTACCGAAATTCACGAAATCGGCTGTCATGTCTCCTATACGATCGATTGAACAAGACATACGGCGGAAAGGTCAACGACCTCTATACTCCTTCGAGATGAAGCCTTTGCTTCAGTAATGTCCGTAACCGCTCAGTTCGTGTCCACCACCCAATGATAATCCAATTCCGTGTCCACCTCCCAGTGATAATCCACCTCCGTGTCCACCTCCTAATGATAATCCACCTCCGTATCCACCGCCGAGTCCTCCGCCAAATCCACCGCCCAAACCGTGCTCCTTCACCAAAACTGGTACAGGCTCCTTCACTACCAAGGGCACCTTAACAGGGTAGGCCACTGGTCTTGCTACCGTGACAGGTACCTTGACTGGTACCTTGACAGGGTAAGGCACGCTTATCGGCACCTTGATGGGCACCTTGACAGGGTAAGGTACTGGCTTCTCTACCGGATAGGGCACAGGCTTTTCGACGGTGACTGGATAAGGTTGCGGCACAGAGATAGGTACTGGCTTGTCGACCGGTACTTTAATAGGTACTTGGACAGGGACCGGCACCGGTTTTTGGACCTCAACTGGATACGGTTCTGGCACGTGGACGGTCTTTGTGACCGTGACTGCCTGGATGTGATCCGCGGATATTTGCTCGCTTCCACCCAGACCGATTCCTAAACCACCTCCCAGGCCACCTCCTAGACCACCTCCTAGACCACCTCCCAGGCCGCCTCCATGGCCGAAACCGCCTCCTAAGCCTCCTCCCAAGCCGCCGTAATTGCCCAAACTAAGCTCCAGGCCGCGTTTCGGCTTGTCTTCTTTCTGCTGAACGCTAGACTCCGCGTTCTTCTCCTCCGGCTTTTCCGCCACGGCTGACAGCACCAGGCCGCACAAAAATAAGATCTGCGGGGATTAAACGATCGATGATTAGTAGATTTGTTAAGGCGAGTTTACCGCGTGTCTCGTTTCCAGAGGAAATCTGCCGTCGGTGAGAATTTTGGTATAGAGTTTCGTAAAATGTGTTACGAATGAAAAATTCTGCTTGAACGACGTAAATGGTAATTTACAAGCGGTTCAAGTGAAAATTTCACTAATACGGTACGGGCTCGAAGTTAAACGACTCGATTACGCGCAGAGCCGGTAATACGTTCGAATTTTCACCGGTTACGACAGGTTCTGTTTGCGTGGCTCGAGCAACGAGAGACGAGAGAATTCGAGTGGCTGTCTTACTGGAGCTACTCACTTTCAGTTTCTCTGTGCTGTTCATGTTGGTCGACAGTGAGCACACTGGTTCCTCGATGGTCTACCCTCGCTTTTATAGGGGACGCAACCGCCAGTCCGGCAGGCAACTCGAGCGTGCCGATGAAATTGTTGCGGAGTAGGAAGTTGAGAGAAGGAAAGGAAGAGAACGACGCTTTCCTCCCAGTCGGCTTTTGTCAGCCAACATTTAGCAAGTCGCTTCGCGTTTCGTTCAATTTCTTCCTTAATGCTGCTCGAGCTTTCAAAGCTACCCAGAGCCTCTGACAATACAAGAAGAAATCCTTCGAGTAGTTTCTGTTTCGTTCGATTCTTAATTTCTTTTAGAACGCTCCAGTGTTCTACTCCTCTTTTATTCTTTTTCTCTTTTGCTATCCAAGACACAGGCGAAATTTGTCGAATTTTTTTCCCTCCTTTTTACCAAGATAGGCGTTTTAGGCTTTTACGAAGATAGGCGAAACGGACTTCAGCAGAATCGAACGCGGCGGCGCGGCGATCAAACTCGAAACTTTCCCGTTTACTCACTTACGTTTCCCCGAGTTTTCAATTACCGGATGAACCATCGCGAACGAACCGGAGAGCAACTAATACGGATTCAACTCCGGTGACTCTTTTTAATCCGATTACTTCTCACAATACGTTCCTACATCTCTGTACTCACATCCCCGGGAGCTTCATTAATATTAAGAGCTTAATTAAAGTGAGAAGAGAACTATTAGGACTTCTACCGGGGTATTCAAGCTCCCTGGTATCTTTGCACCTTCTTTCCATCGTATCGCGAATGAAGGAACTTCGTTTCCTACCAGAGATAGTTTAACCTACATTCCATCTTGAACTTTTTGGTTCTAAATAAAACCCACCTTACTTGGCGTACCTCATGTTAAATTCAGTTAGTATCCTTTAATGATTTCCTCGGTACAGACGTAACAGCAGCGGTGGGTAACTATTTCAGTACGGTAGATAGTAGAGGGACATTGGTCCATCAATTTCTAACGACAACGGATCGCGAAAATAAAACGACCTATATTCCGGTAGATGCGGGGGAAACGGTATCAGCGGTCCTAACTGTTTCAGTCGATACATCGATGTGCCGTAGCCGAACGCTATTCGCGGTTCATTCGCGGTATGCTTGGAGTTACGAGGGCGCAACGATTTTTGGTTATCACTCGGTGCTCCCAGGGGCGCAGTTAATCTCGGAATGACTTTGTACCTCGATCTCGGCTGTTGGAGAGCATTAGAATATCCCCGCGTATCCATGGTTTATCAGGCTTATCGGCGGGAATAAATTTCCATATATCTGAATTTGAATCTCCATATTTGAATCTGAAAATATTGATTTGACTCGTAGCCAGGGCTAGAACGATGCGTTTCGACGTGCTGGACCCTCCTCCCCTCCCGTTCTTCGATTGGGTTCGTTCGATCGAGCCGAATGAAAAGTGGGAGGAAGATGTTTGTCGATAGTTTCTGTCTCACCTTCCAGCTGGATTAAATTGTTTTCGATGAATTTATAGTGATTTGCCGCGGTCGCAATCTCCTCGGACTGGAAACCGATTTCCATACGTGAACGAAGTTTGTCGATAGGGTTTCGATAACGTATGATCGTGTCAACGTGAACCTCGAAACCGATCTCTGGAGATGAAGTCTGTTGAAATTTATCGCGCGTCCAACTTT